TGAGAGCTTTTGATGCCTGTACCATTTTTGGATTAGTATAATTTTGTGGTAAGTCCAATCATACTTCTATGCCCAGGGAAGTCGAGACATTTTCCAACCCGAAAAATTACTAAACCGGGCCGGGAATCGAACCCAGCCACATCCAGCATGGTCTTGCTTTGTAGCTGCGCCTTTACCAACTGAGATAAGGGAGGTCCCGTCTTTTATCGATCTGTGAGCTGAAAATACCTGGGAATGTCTTAACATGGCCGTGGGGATACAATGAGAAAGTCGACGAAGAGAATCTTGTCAATGTTAATTAGGACCAAATGCAATGTTCAGTTTGATTTTTTTCGCTAAGCTGTAGCAATGTAAAGAGAAAATCGATGAAGAGAATCGATCATTGCAAGTAGAACCTTTTGAACGCTCACTGTCGAATTTAAGCACCTAGCACTAACTAGATGGTACCTCTATTTATGCTAAGAGATAAGAATTGTAAGTCCCTTCTACTTGGAGAATTTTGCAATCGAACGGCTTGCTATGCCTCGCCCCCATCAGCAAAAAATATGGGATTTTATAAACCGTTCTATGGCATAATTTTCCAAGGATGGACTTTCATTGCTTATCTAAAATCATAAATAGAGGTACCGTCTGATAATTCCAGTGCTTGGTACAGAAACCTGTAATCTGTGTAGGGAAATCCTTTTTTTTCCCACCACCGAAATACCCTGCTTTCTTATGCAAAATAATGGATTCAGTATTTTTATTTTTAATTCAATCAATAGCTAAAGATGTACCGAGAATTAATTAGAGGGATTTCTAGCTAAAATGTTCTGATCCCGAGATATTCACGATCAATACCGACATTTCGCATAAATGTCCAACCCATTTTGTGTGTGTGCTGCTGATTTTCACTGTTGCCCAATGCTTAGGAAACTTTCATAAATAACGAAGTAGTTGAGGGGAATAGGGGTTTCAGAAGTAGTGACCGGCTATGTATTATTAGCACAGAGAACAGACGTTGAGGCTCGAATCAAATTTCTGTAAACACTTGTGTAAAGATTCCTATTCGACTTAAGCGCCACCAACGCCGACTTCCCCACTTAAAAACCCTCTTTGACAACATGATGGCGCTGGCGTTGCACAACTTATAGACACTAAGTGCCGGTAGCGCCGAGTGGTAATTTTCAACCGAAAATTTATCGATACTAGCGCCAAATTGGTCGAAAGTGAAAAATTTACACAGGAAATCAGGAGATGCTAGCGCTACGTAACGGCGACGTTCCCACTAATATTTACACAAGTTTCTGGTGGAAGTTGGACGTCTGTTTACTGTGTTATTATGTATAGCATAACACGCTACGAGGGGATGGGGGGGGGGTTAATTGGTCAAAACATTCTACGTCATTTTGGGATGGTCCCTAATGTGACTTCCAAGGCGTTGTCCCAATGGATGATTTAAATTTAACTCGTGGTGAAAAGTGACAGATGAGTTATCGAATAACCCTGCTATCCGAGCGTGGTTATTTCTAACCGACTAAAAGTTAAATTTTGGCAGCGCTATTTTATAACTTTTTAGATTCAAGCAGCACGATGTGCAACCAAATGGTACTCGATTATGACGACTGAGTTTGGAGAGAACGTTTATTTCATGAAAGCAGTGATAAAAATATCACTTTTTATTTGTAAATTTTTCAACAGTTTATTATGGAAAATTGAAAAAAGTGTTTATTGTAGAAGATTATGAGAGTTATTTCCTATCGATTTGTGCATTTCATAACGTTTTTTTTTTTTATTAAAATGCCCATGGCTAACTTACATTTAATTCTAGACTGCAGGTCTTCTCGTTGCTAAATCGCTTCATCTTTAATCATCGCTAGATCTTTAAAATTGACTGCCCTAAAATTATCAAAATTTGTCTAAATCTTTGAATTTGAACATTTTTCTCTGTGCCTCAATATCAACTTAGTAAAATGTTTGTTTAAAAATCGAGGTAGACGAAAGAGTGCAGATTGCGTTAGAAGTGAAAGTTAGAATTGTACCGTGCTTGTTCAATTCATACTTATTTTTTGAGAACAAATTTATGGGATCCGTAAACCATTTGTTTTATTTTTTAGAAACATGAAAAATGCGCATGATGGGTTTGTGAGTTTCTGAATTATTTTTGCGATCAAAATAAATATAGTTATTTTGACCGCAAAAATGATTCAATTGTTTTAGAGATAACTCGAAATTATAAAGGGTGATACGGTCAAAATTTGGTCAAGGGAAAACGCGTGTAAATCGGTGAAATCGTTTATTTAAAAAATCAAATTAAATTTCTTTTTCAAGTTCAATTAGTATAAAATTCAGGAAAAATATTCAGTTAGGCTTCCGCTTTTCCAAATCCGAATTGCCGGGCCTTACGCTTGACCTCTGCCATCAGATTTTGTACAGCCACCTTGTCCACCTTCTTCGCCGCAGAAAGCCAGTTTGCCTTGAACTGCTGCTCGCCCTTAGCAGTTTTTTTGGTCTTCTTTAGGTTCCGCTTGACAATAGCCCAGTATTTCTCAATTGGGCGGAGCTCTGGCGTGTTGGGAGGGTTCTTGTCCTTGGGAACCACCTGCACGTTGTTGGCGGCATACCACTCCATGGCCTTTTTACCGTAATGGCAAGATGCCAAATCCGGCCAAAACAGTACGGAACAACCGTGTTTCTTCAGGAAAGGCAGCAGACGTTTATTCAAACACTCTTTCACGTAAATTTCTTGGTTAACAGTCCCGGAAGCTATGAAAATGCTGCTTTTCAAGCCACAGGTACAGATGGCTTGCCAAACCAGATATTTCTTTGCGAACTTTGACAGTTTCATGTGCTTGAAAACATCTGCTACCTTTCCCCTTCCTTTTGCCGTATAAAACTCCTGTCCCGGAAGCTGCTTGTAGTCGGCTTTGACGTAGGTTCCGTCGTCCATTACCACGCAGTCAAACTTCGTCAGCATCGTCGTGTACAGCCTCCGGGATCGCGCTTTGGCCGTCGTATTTTGTTTATCATCGCGATTTGGAGTCACTACCTTCTTGTAAGTCGATAGTCCGGCTCGTTTTTTGGCTCGATGCACGGTTGTAGACGATACACCCAGCTTATTTGCGGCATCTCGGAGAGAGAGGTTAGGGTTTCGCTTGAAACTACCGGCAACTCTCTTTGTCGTCTCAGCGGCTTCCGGTTTTCGATTTCCCCCCGATCCAGACTTCCTGGCTGTCGACAAACGTTCCCCAAACACTTTAATTACATTTGTAACGGTTGATTTGGCAACTTTTAGCGATTTTGCCAACTTTGCGTGCGAGTAGCTCGGATTTTCGCGATGCGCGAGCAAAATTTTGATACGCTGCTCTTCTTGCTTGGACGGCATTATGACAACTGAAGAGTGAATTCCAAAATCAAAATAGGAGCAACATTCTACACCCACACACCTTCAAAATGAGGGGTGTTCAGGTTTTTTAAATGCAAAATTGAAAGAAATACGTCAAGTTGATATTGACCAAATTTTGACCGTATCACCCTTTAGTTGATTTTACTATATATACACTCAAAAAATTACACACGTCATCATCATGTGTCTCACACTTAATTTTGCGCATATTGTGAAACACATCCATTTCATGTGTGAATCTTATGCTATGAACCATGCCTGAACACTATGGATTTGAATTGTGACACACTTGGATTCTATGTGCCTCATATGGTGATATCAATAGCTTTGCACACCATAGTTCAATATTCTACTTTATCGAATTCTACTTTACCGACTCTAAAAATGAATCGACAAATATATAAACAAAACTGCCAGAGGCCAGAGCTTTCACATATATTTTTAATGGGTCTGATTTGGGATTCGATCATGGACTGTTGGGGTATGCTGCTGCCGGAGTCTTCGTTCGATCTCACTGTGCCACGGTTGTTCTCATATATGAGGCAGGTTGATAGGATAAAGTCACAACTCTTGTTATCGATGTTTACCTTTCTGAGCAAGCAATTCACATCGTATTGAAATGCAAAACACTTTCAATCCATCTGTTTTGAACAGTAGCGTGATTCAATGTGCAATACACTTGAATAGATAGTGAAAGATTTTCAACATTTCAAAGTTTGAAACACTATAAATTAACTTGTATAACACATTGAACCAAGGTGAAATACACTTAAAGTAAATGTGATGCATTTGATGAATGCATTTAGAAAATCAAGTGTTTAAACACTTCGATCCAACGTGTGAAATTTTTTGAGTGAGAGGGTAACAACAATAATCCATAGTTGACGCAATCATATTTTTCAGTAGGTGAGCTAACGCCAAACTTCTAAATAAAACTATACTTTCGTTGATTCAAGTAAACTATTGTTGGGAAAACAGTATTTTACAATGTTTATTAAACGAATTGCTCTTCATTATCGACATATTTAGGATGTTCTTTTTGATACTTTACCGTCCTCAAAAACATCACTGCAAAATTTGGATTTGAACTGTGTTTCTCTGCGTGAGAGCCAGCTATCTTATCGCCTACTCTACGCCTCACAAGTTAAAAGTTTGAGGATTTACCAAATGATATAAATAAGTTACATTTGACGGTTGTTGATTTGAAATAAGTATAAGTTGAACAGTTGTATCTATTAGGTAGGTATGATTAAGTTGACGATTAAATTAATGTTGGAATAACTCTAGGTTTTTTAAACAACAATCTTTGTTCATGTGAAAGTAATTATTTGGATTGTTATCTTAACTTTACGAATGTGCCCTCCGTGTATCTCCAATGCAAATTCACATTGAAGACGTTAACGGCCTTAACGTCTTCAACAACCAACAACCCTGGTCAGGGTGATTCTCGCTCGTCAATTATCAATGTCTGAATTAGACACAGTGTTCATCGTTCTCCTACGTCGTCCTGTTTTATCCCTTTTCAAGTTATTAACTGTGTTCAAAAGGTTTAACACTGTTGGTCTAGTTAAAACACTTCTATTAATTGCTTGATGTAATTTTTTGTCATTCACAGGAGTATGAGGAAGGAAAAACAGCTGAGGCAAAGTTCGTGAAAGATCTGGATCGCCTCGATATGGTCATGCAAGCATTCGAGTACGAGAAACGTGATAATTGTCCGTTGAAGCATCAAGAGTTCTTCGACTCAACCAAGGGTAAATTCTCCCATCCTCTTGTGATCAATATTGTGAACGAAATCAACGCTCAAAGAGAAAAGTTTGCCGAAGCAAATGTCGATGGTACAACACATAATTCTTCACCGTCACGTGAAGCCGCTACAAGTGGTGGATCTAGATGATTCTGTAAATGGAAATTCATTCGTATATTTTAGTGATGAAGTCTTGAAAGTTGATTCTTTTGGGTGTTTCTTGTGTTACGATAAAATTCAAGTGTGATCTCATCATTGCTTATTTAGGTACCAACTGGATTTTTTGTAAAAATAGCTAATTGATGTGAGCTAGTCAATTTTGGAAGTACGAGAATAAAAAAAAAACAGTTTATTTATTACGACGAGCTTGAGACTATTAGCCCATATTTAGCAACCAATAGCTATAATGTTTTTGTTAGAAATGGTAAAGGTATACATTTCAGGGACTTAAACATTGGTAGTATTGGCATAACATGCGTAATAGATTTCATTTTAGTTAAAACGTTCAGAAAAAAAAAAACAGGTATTGAGAGGTGGTGTTATTTTTTTGATGACATGCACAAAGGATCACATCTTCTTTTTGTTCGTAACGGTAATTTCCCGTGAGTTAGTAAGTGATAATCTTTTTATTTTTTTAAAGATTTTTTCGAAAAAAAATCAACTTTTTCGATTTGCACAAAGTAGTTTATACATTCCGTCGGTCAGTCGGTCAGGGTAATCCTTTACAGTAAATTTCCAAGTGTATTCAGGAGCCATGTCTATGTCATCTGTTGTCTCTCTTAGCTCAGTCGGTAATGGCGCAGCTATAAAGCAAGGCCATGTTGTAGGTGGCTGGGTTCGATTTCCGGTCCGGTCTAGGATTTTTTCGAGTCCAAAAATGTCTCGACTTACCAAGATGGTGGTTGGCTCAGTGGGTTCTTATGTTCCCATCCGCGCTGCGGCCTGGTTGTGCAGTCACTGTGGTTTTGCCATACGGCATATGATGGAGCCGTATCGGTTGCGCAGCCGGATTGCAGTGTGTCTTTTTGACGCATTAGAAACCCCTAGATTAATTCAACTTTCGAGGTCCTGTCATAATCTTTAGTATTATTGACTGGTCTGCACTCGTAGGGAAAAGTGGGAATTTAAAAGAAAACGAGTGAAGGACACAAGTATCCGGCGGTCGTCTGATCGCTAATCGAGCCAACGTAATGTGAGAAATAATACTTGTATGGTCAATTCTGTGCAGGTTGACATATTTCCAATATTCTAACCAAAATTTATGTCATTATTCCATTCTTATTAACAGTTTTATGATTGGAGAGATGTAGGACCCGGAGGAACCGCTTAGGGGATGCATAATATGGTTTATTGCTTCCTATTTTGGAATGGTTCAGATGGGCTAGGAGTGATAGGTTTACGCTTTTGAGTTTTGCTCTTACTTATATAATTTTCATGTGATTTGGCTGACTTTGTAGGATTTTTTTTAACTCACGTTGGTAGTCTGTAGCTTGTTGAGTTCACCATATCTAACCTCGAAGCTATCTGTCAGGTTTCCTAATCCATTGTGCGCCAGCCTGAACAATCCAGAATACTTGTTTTGCGAGATCCACTTTGCAAAGATGTTGTGGTCGTCATGGTATTGTGGCCGGCGAGGAGCTGTTGTGGTGAAGTATAGTGTTAAGTGCACAGCACCAGGACCCGCACGAAACGGAATAGGAGAGAAAAGACATCATCCTCGGAGGAATCTGAATGAAGTTTGGGCGAAAACTCTCTCAGGGGAGAGTCAGTGAGCGCATGATGGGGATCAGAGAACGACGACGGAGCGAAGTAAGTCGGGATCCAGCTACAGAAAGGAGATCACGGAGTGAACTTTGTTCGTGGAATTTACGGACGAAGAGTGTAAGATGGCCACCAGTGTTGCCCACCTCGACGTCGTGGTCTTGCCTTCCTGCGAACGATCTTGGAAAAAGCCTTGTTGGATGACCGTGCCTGCTCCTGGATTCGCTAAGCGACATCCATCGCGTCGGTCACGCTAACGAGCACCTAGGTGACCAGTCATCCGCGTACACGTCGAGAAATACCATTGGTCACTGCGTCACCGAGTACCCCCTTTTCGGCGAAGTCCTACTAGCTTCGTCGGCATCAAGAGATCGCCCTGATCGTGGCCATTGCTTCGACCCATGTAGTGGCCGCCATCACGTTCATCTCCACTTCCGAAGCCACTACCAACAGAGACGGCTTCCTCTGGACCATCGTCTCGCCTGCACTGTCGCCATCGGCGCCCACCGCCCGATCTGTACTTTCGTCACGTCCGAAGTATCACCTGCACCGTCGCCATCGCCGCCCTCCGCCCGCAATGTACCTTTAAATCTAATAAACAGGTATTTAACCGTTTCTGTAGTGTTTGTTAGGTTCTCCCGTGTCCGAAAAGTCTCCCACTCCGATACGCCCTGAGACCCGGAACCTACAAGGGTCTTGAGTGCCCACCTCGGAAGCTGCCGTTGGTCAAGACCAACAGCTTGGGGCTTTGGGGGATTCCCTTCAGGAACTCAGCGGTTCCGGGGCTTATAAAGACAGTTTTATAGCATCCCAAGTAGCATTTCTTGTTTTATTGCACTCTATTAGTGGTTTTTGAGATCAATGTTATAAAACCGTCGATAAAATTAATAGCTCCAGCACAACCTTTTGATAACCGCTATAAGATCGTCTTGCAGCTTAGTGGACCACTCTTGATAAGGTTTATAAAGCATGTTTTAGAATCACAATAAAGCTGTTTTAAAACCTTTTGTAAGAAAGCCCCATACTCTACAAAAGGTTCTCATAGCCTCTTTAAGAGTAATATTGTATCCCAGCAGTTTTATTCGTCCAAACACTCCACGAAGATTATACCCAGAAGCAGTGCAATATATCACCTTTGTCCGTTCTTAGATGAGCATGATGTACTCCGTGTTCGTGGTAGGACCAGCGCTTGTCCATTTGTTCAGCAGGATACGGTGAATCCCATCATCCTTCCACGAGATCATCAGATTGCACATCTCATCATATCACATTACCACAGCAAGTATCATCATCAGAACCACAACACAGTGATCAACGAGTTGCGGCAGTGATACAGCATCCCTCGTCTAAAGGCTGCCTACAACAGTATTCGTCGATGCTGTCAGCAATGCAAGCACGACCGCTGAGTGACTTGCCACTGCCTCGTCTGGCTGCCTACGCTCGTCTGTTTACTTATCTGGGGGTTGACTACTTTGGTCCATTTATGATCATCCTTGGACGCCGTCTCGAGAAGCGTTGGGTACTTCTCGCCACTTGTCTTACCACTCGCGCCATCCACTTGCAAATCGTTCACACTATGACTACCGATTCATGGATTATGGCATTAAAAAACGTCATGGCTAGGATAGGTGTACCAGCAGTCATATATAGTGACAGAGGTACAAACTTCCAGGGGCAAGTAAAGAACTCGAAGAAACTATGGTGAATTTAGATCGAGAGCGGCTTGCAGCGGAGTTCACCTCCTCACATACTTCCTGGAACTTTATTCCTCCCGCCTCACCACACATGGGTGGAGCATGGGAGCGACTCATACGAACCGTCAAACAAAACATTGGGAAGCTGAAAGTCAACAGAACGCTGTCCCATGAAGTCCTCCAAAACATGCTACTGGAGGTTGAGAATATTGTCAACTCTCGCCCGTTAACCAGTATTCCTCTCGACGATGACCAGTCGCTAGTGCTAACACCCAACCATTTTTTAATGAGATCAAGCAACGGGTTGAGACCTTGCGGTACCGACAGCTCAGAAGTACTCACAAATTGCTGGGAACTGTCTCAAGCCTTGGCCAACCAATTTTGGAAACAGTGGCTCCGAGACTATCTTCCTTCCATCACTCGTCGGACGAAATGGTATACGGAGGTGAATCCCATCAAAATCAACGACATCGTTGTCATCGTGGACCCGAAACTTCCTCGGAACACCTGGCATAAAGGCCGAGTTATTGGGATCAAGCAAGGTTCGGATGGACAGGTGCGAAGCGCTACTGTGCAGACTCCCGGAGGTATCTACGAGCGACCAACTGTGAAGCTTGCCGTGCTCGACGTAGGCGTTGGAAGCAATGCACATCAGGATGACCAGAAGCGCATTACGGGGGGGAGTGTTGGTTGCGCTACTTCGACGAGCCCGCCAAGCCCGCCAAGCCCAGAAAAGTTGACTTAGATGGTCAAACCCATCCACACCCATCGTACGTACGGAGGACTGTCGGATACGGGGCGGTGGATATATAAACAACAACACCTATTGTTCTGAGCTTTTTCTGTTCACCTCGGTGTGAAAACAACAACCAGAGCGAGAAATGATGTTGAAGAATTGCAGTGTGGAAAATAATTTACAATACTTTAGTGCTTAAAACTATCTTAATATTAAATTTATTTACATTTTTACCTGAAAACTACTTATGTGCTATGACAAATATTGGCGAATTGTGAGCAGGTATTTGTTTAATGCAGTAAAATTGTACATAATTCTTTGCCAGTGAATTCTAACCTAAAATAACAATTACAGATAAACGATTCTTAGTAAATAACGGTACATCTATTGTTGAGCCTAAAACTGTTTGTTGGATTTAAAACTATCTTAACAAGGTGAGGAAAAGTTAATTGCATGAGCAACATAAAGCAAATTTACGGATTTTAAATCTAGTTGTAGTAATTACCTACAAACTGACATAGAATAACGGAGAAGTTTGGATATATTTCTTTGTCGGAACAGTAGAGGCTCGAGTAGAGGTGAGAAATTGAAATTAATTTATAATACTAAGTTAACTTACCTAAGTTAATTGTAGATACATTTTGATTGCACGCCACATTTTTTTTTGGCATCCGTCGAACAAACCAGTTGAGTGGTAGTAAACACTAAAGTAATGATTCTTAAACACAGCCTTATAACTAGTATGTCCAAACACCCACAGGAATTTTGTAATAAACCTATAACCCGAACGGTATATTCACGAAATATAGGATATTTTCAACTACCACCCAACATTAATTTTCCGCGTACTTGACAATCAGTTCGATTTTATGCAAATTCGTTCAAAAGCCAAATGCGTGTAATTCTAAATGTCCTGTAGAATTACAAAGTGAGCCCATCTAAAGCCATCAATGTAAAATTCAAGTGACGTTTAATTTTACGTGCATGTAAATTTCAAGTCGTGTAAATTAAAAAACCAATTTAATTTTACATGAATATGCATGCTCGTTTTATGTGCATGGAAATTCGTGTAACATTACGAAATAATTTTAACTGTATACATCATAACAGAAAATTTTGATTTCAATTTGATCTCCAGCTTTGCTCGGGTACTAGGACAGTGCCCAGTTACTACACAGTTCGAAAAAGTAGTGTAAATTTCTGTTCAATATGATGCACATTAATGGAGCGTCCCGTATCATATAAGTTTACATTATAAATCATGTAAAGTTCTGAGACATTTAATGCAATGCAGCAAATATTGTATACAAAAGCCCATCTTTGCAC